ATACTCCTTTGAGCCCCTTTAAGGAAGGGCGGAATTAAGATGTAATATACCTGACATGTACTTCCATAGCTGTATACTCTTAATACATCCAAGATGAGACAAAACAGCAAAGTTCGCAGTCAGTCAAACTATATTTTTAATGGTGGCAACCAACCAACCAAAGGAACAAACTAGTTAAAACTGTGCAGTGCTAACAACGAAGTTCAATTGCTCCAATAACAACTTCAATAAAACGTGGTCATCTGAACATGAGTGCCAAACAGTTATACCCTCCCTCCAGCTTAATACTACACTTCCCACCCTGCAACCAAACATCCTTTGTTACTCAGTCAAGAACCTGCTGAGGACTCCAGATCTCTCAAATTATTTTAATCTTGAAAACAACCACATCTTTTCTGTATTTTTCAGCCTTCGACTGATTAACCTTACTTTTTAAAAAAATGGAAGCACAACTATGTCCCAGCCCAAAATCAGCTAATGTATTACCTCCAAAACTCTTTTTCTAACAGAAGTGATTCTTTTACATAGGCCGTTTTTAATCCATCCGTTAATGCTGCAGTTGCCAGATTCTGTTGGCAAAATCTCATCCTTCAGGTTCTCTCCAGCTGAATCACGAGATGAAAACCCATTAACCCCAGGCCCATAGCCAGGATTTCTTATCCTTGGGGGCTCCAGGGTTCGGGGGGCTGCTGGTGCTGTGGGGGACTTAAACCCACAAGGGGAGGAAGACAGCAGGCCGGCCTCATTGCCGGCCAGGCGATTCTTCTCCCTGCTTGCTGGCAGGAAGAAGACTCCGTGGCTGGCAGTTTAGGCCACGCAGCCGCCCCCTCTCTTCCCCCACCAGCCAGCTGAGCCGAGAGGGGATTTAAACTTTAAACCCCCTCTCTGGAGTCACGTATCAGTGGCGGCACAATTTCTCCACTGGATACAATGGAGAAATCGTGCCACTGCTGTGGTGTGACTCCAGAGAAGGGGTTTATAATTTAACACCCCTCTCTTCTCAGCTGGCTGGCAGGGAAGAGAGGGGGCGGCTGCGTGGCCTAAACTGCCAGCCACTGAGTCTTCTTCTTCCTCCTAGCAAGCAGGGAGAAGACTCCGCCAGCAAGGAAGGAGGGAAATCTTGTGCGGCTGTCCCTTTAAGGGAGTGGGCGGAGCCCCCAATAGCCCCACCATAGCTACGGGCCAGGTTAACCCATATCTTCTACTTTGTTCTTTCCATTCATTTCTAGGGTTAATTTTCAGTCCTCTGTCTACATGTATCTATTTCACCAACGCTTGTCCTCTCTGTGTAGATTTAGCTTTTCTTTTAATGCTACAAGGTCAAGTAACATTCAGGACTGCACACTTTGAGATGTGAATAAAATAGGCAACCAAAACCCTTGTATAGAATGTATTTCATGCAAGTCTTCCTCCTTGCCTCGCCATGTACTTGGACAAGGAACTATTTAGAACACTTCAGCCCCACTCTTCCTCTCTGTACAAACTTCTGAGCTTTCAGCAGACTGCATGCTTTCAAGAATCCCTCCGCAACCATAAGGACTAGAAATCTGCAGTGTTCAAAATTAACCAGAAATTCAAAAAAACTCACTGTAATACCGTAAGATGCTAAATAAATAAATATTTAATTGCAAAAATATATGAAACTTTAAAGACTGGATAAATTACAAAGTCAAGATAAGTACAGATTTGTAAAGAACAAACATCATAAACCAATTTTAAAGGCAAGGTAAGTCCCAAATTATGGAAACTTCAAAGAAGATAATCCATTAGTGAAGAATCAGCACTTCATCTTTTTTGAAGTTTCCACAATTTGGGATTTACCTTGCCTTTAACATTGGTTTATGATGTTTATGCTTTACAAATCTGTACTTATCTTGACTTTGTAATTTATCCAGTCTTTAAAGTTTCATATATCTTTGCAGTTAATATTTATTTATTTAGCATCTTATTACAGTGTTTCTTCGGTATTTTTGGTTGTGCTATCACACTGTAATCCTTCCTATGCTTGCTAGTGTTTAAAATTAAAGCTGAGATTTTCAGCATTCTGCTGTAGGTAGCACAAAGGTCTCCTGGGTACATACGGCTCTCCTTAGGTATATCACCTTTCTTGCTTCCTCACACCCTGGATCAGGGTCCTCATCTGGGTCAGTCTGCCCTGATCAGCCCCAACTCTTACCTAGAAAAGCTACGCACTACCTTTCCCCCCTCATCTTCCCCAAGACTGGTATCCCAACCAAAATAGCTCCTGTGATCACTAGTTGCAAACCCACTATGCAACAAGTGTTGAGGTAGAAAACCCCTGGAAATAAGGAATTCCTGTTAAGCCATTAACATGAACTCTTCTTATTCATGATGAAGACTTAAAGTTGTCATAAAGCTGGCTAATACTTAAAGAAGATACTCGCTATAAAAACATACTCAGTGAGACAAAGTTTTTTGAAAAAATGTAGCTAATTAAAAAAAAAGAAAGCTATTAACACAACTACTTTGAAACCAGTGTGATGGTCTGCCATGTTACCCTAGGGCTGTGAAATGAACAGCAGCAGTTCCCAGAGGGTCAAACAAAACATATGACATGAAATACAGTTGGAAATGTAACCGCTACGTTCTTCCAAGCTCAAGGTAATATAAATGCATAGGGCAAAATTTTAAGATTTTTTAGGATCACAAACCTTGCTTTTCAGGATCACGTGAGGATATTTTCATCCCCACATCAGAAGTTCATAGGAGTAGGGCTGTGTGAACTCAACACTTGTGGGGGGGGGGGAGTAAAAACTCCAGCAAGGTAACCCAATTTCTTTGAGCTGTGCCAATTGTTCAAAATTGTGTGTGTTCACAACATTTTGGTTTGTGCTCATCAGGGAGAGGGTCACGGAATTATGCAGGGCTCCCAACCCCTGTCCTTGGATGACAGCACACTTCCAGCACACTTTTTGAGCAGTTCATTTTGCAGGCAGTCTGTCCCAGATCTAATCTCCAGTTCAGAGAATCTCAGGTAATTCCTGTCAGAGACCCCAGAGCCATGGATAGGAGATAATTCGAGACTCAAGAGACCAATGGTGTGATTCTGTGTGAGGCAGTCACACTTGTTAGATTCCCATTAGGCACTGCCCAGAGGCCTGACCCTCCTGTTTCTACACTTATCTGCACAACTAAAGCAGTGAAATCCTTACTTTTTCCAACGCTGTGATTCTCAAGGTCCTAATTTCTACACTTCCACAGAAATCATGGCACGCACAAAGCCCTGCCTAAATTAACCACATTGTTGCCAGTTCCATACGGATGTTTTATATTGCATTCTAAAATATCTTTTGTCGCTTTGGATCCTACTCTAACCCCCAATCCCACCCTAAAGCGTAACCAAGTCCCCATTACCTACCTTTACCAGTGTTCACATTTTGCATCCCAACAGTTAATTTTAAGTGATAATACTAAACAAGAAAAAGTTATGAGAGACCAAGTGCTTTGTAAACCAAGCTACCAACTTTCTTTTTCTTTATGGGGCGGGGGGAGGTGGCAAGGCTGCATGGCGCTTAACAGCAGAACCTTGTCATCACCACCATTACAAACATTTCTCTGGCTGAATTTCTGCTATCTGTGTCATTGCAGACCCACTAAAAACAGCTGCTGGGAACCTTGTTCATGAACAAGGAACAGAACTCAAGCAAAAGCTATAGAGGGAGTCCTAAGGTCCCACCTTGCAGAGGCCAGTTTCAATGACTGCTACCCCAGCCCTATTTCTCCACCTCATTCACTTCTCCTGCGTTAACTGTGAGATGAGGAGCTTGATTTCGTTCTGTAGGCTATGTTGACTTTGCTATACATATGACTGGTCAAGCTCCGACTGAGCTGGGTAGCAGAGGCTAATGCTTGCTTAAGAGCTGTGGCTGCCCGCTAGCCAGAGTTCATCAAAATGGGCCTCGGGACTTAACTGTGGCCAGCAAGTCTAGAGTAAGTGACACTGTCAAGCCCACCTTTTGCATGCAGAAGGTCCCTAGGTCCAATCCCTGGAATCTCCCTTGTGCAGCTGGGAAGGAACACCTCTTGAGATCTTGGAGAGCTTCTGCCTATCAGGCTGCTGGATTCTGTAACAGGCAGCTCCAAATGGTTCTGGATGTGGTGGGAGTGAGAATGAGCCCTGCCTTGATCAGCAGGTTCACTGGGTCTTGCACAAGCACACACTAAAGTGGAAGGAAATGGGGGCCCATCTCTGACTCCAAGTGTGGGATGAGGCAAGAAAGGCTTCCAGCTGACCTCATTACCACCATAGTCCACCCTTGTGTATTGCTTTCGGACTGAACTCTAGCCAGCAAGCCCAGAGGCTCTCTGTGTAATGGCGACATCTGCCTGCTCCCCTCCCAGTCCCTGGCTAGGTTCTCCCTGACAGTGAGGGGCTGCATTCATTCCCTCCCCAGCAACAGACATGCACCATTGTCCTTCCCATCCCAACACACACACACCCTGGATCTATGCATAGTGGACAGTGGCGTTCAGCTGTCTTGCTCAAGGTTACAGGATGCTGCTCTTTCAAAGAGAAGAATCCTGTTCTGGTTTCATCCAGCCAAGGAAGACAAGCCAGCTACTAGGAAGAGCCTTATTCCCACTGCTGCGTGTGGAGCGCTGTTCTGGTTTCATCCAGCCAAGGAAGACTAGGAAGAGCCTTATTTCCATTGCTGCCTGCGGAGCAAACTGCATCATTTCAGCTTCTTTGGAAGAACAGGATGGCAGCAGGAGGGGTCAGCAAAGGGTAGGAGGAAAGGACAGGACTATTCCTCACTCCCTGTCTCTCCCAGAACTAACAACAGGTTCCAGAGTGACCTGCTCACAATGTTCACAACAGGCCAAGCAGGAGAGGAGAATGGACAGCTGCTCTCACAACCGGTCGCTCAGCACCAGTAAGAAAAAGAATTCATTTTTCTGCAGAAGGAGCAAAGTGATACTTTTCTGTAGCTTAAAAGACCTTTGCTCCCTCTGGGCCTTTGCTGAGAAGGAGTGGCAGGGGTCAGGAGCTGGGGAAAGGGATCAAGCTGGGATCTGCCAGGTTTTCTAAATTGTCTTTCTCCTGCTTTATCTCACGAGCTTTGAATTCACTGTCCGTCGGTGACTCTGTGGGCCGGACAGTTTCGCCTCCTTTTGGATTCTCTTTTGAATGGCACTTCTGGTGTTTCACCAGTACTCCCCTCTGGCGGAACCTCCTACCGCACTCGAGGCAGCGGTATGGTTTTTCTCCTGTGTGGATTCGCTGGTGTGTAATAAGGTCGGAGAGCCTGGTGAATCGTCTCTCGCACTCGTCACAAGGGTAGGGCTTTTCTCCTGTGTGGATTTTTTGGTGTCTTGTAAGATCAGAAGGATAAGCGAATCTCCTCCCGCACACCTTACAGGAGAATGGCTTTTCCCCTGAGTGGGTTCGCTGGTGTGATACGAGATTAGAATGCTGGATGAATCGTTTCCCGCACACACCGCAGGCATGAGGCTTCTCTCCTGTGTGGATTCTCCTGTGGGTTGTGAGAGAGGAAGACGACACAAAGCGCTTCCCACAGTCCACACAGGCGTAGGGTTTCTGGCCCATGTGGTTCCGCTCATGTATCTTGAGAGCGGACTGATGGCTGAAGCACTTCTGGCAGTATGAACAACGGTACGGCTGCTCTCCAGAATGGCTTCTCTGATGACTGACAAGATATGCTCGTTGGCTGAATGTATCCCCACACTCTGAGCAGATGTGAGGTTTTTCCCCCGAGTGGATTTTCTGATGTCTGGTAAGATGAGAGAGCTGACTAAAGCTTTTCCCACACTCGACACACAGGTAGGGCTTCTCCCCTGTGTGGACATTCAGGTGTTTCGCCAAGTCTGACGGACGGGTAAAGCTTTTCCCACACTCGATACAGAGGTGAGACTTCTCTCTCCTCTGAGTTCCCTCTGGTGCTGCAGTAACCTCCTCTTCCCTGGACTCTTGAGGTTCAAACTTCTCCTCGGTTTTATTTGCAATCTTGGTTCCTGTAAGATGAGGAAGAAAAATCACACTTTCGTAACATGCTGAGGTAGTGGCGTGGTTGTGGGCAGGGGCTGTCTTAACCAATGCGCAACAGGGGCAGGTGCTTCGGGTCCCATGCTGGAGAGGGCAACCATCCACATCCCTGCCCCTCTGGTTGGGAGGGCAATCACCTCAGCAGCAGTGGCCACTTGCCCCCGCCCTGTCTGGGGCTTCGATGGCTGGCTTCTGGCAGCAGCTCCCATTCACCTCACACAGGCCTTGGGATGGGCCCCCAAAGTCACTAAGACCACCCCTGGGTATGGGAGCTTCTTGCCCCTCAGGAGTCGCTGCTACAGTAGAGCATTTGGATTCCCATACAACACAAGGTGCTGTGATCTTTAGGATAACCAACATCTAAAGGTCTGCAATTCTCTACTGAAATAAAGATAGCATGGTGTAGTGGTTGGTGTCAGATCTGGAAGACCTATGGAAACTCATTAGGTGACTTTGGGCCAGTCATTCATTCTCAGCTTAACCTAACTCACATGTTGCTGTTGTGAGGATAAAATGGGGGAGGTGAAGATGAAGTTGCAAGCCACTTTGTGTCCCCGTTGGAGAGAACGGTGGAGTATAAATAGGGTTGCCAGGTCCCTACCTTTTGCCAGCAGGGGGGAGAAGCTCCTCTCCCGGGATCTTCTGGTGCGCACGTGCCACAATGATGTCACCCGGAAGTGAGGTCATCACACTAGGCACGTCGCCAGGGGGACACTGTAGCATTCAGCTAGAAACTCTTTGATACCATAGAGTTTTCAGGCCAAATGCTAGAGTGTCCCCCTGGTGACGTGCCCAGCACAATGACATCACCTCTGGACGACATCATTGCACCGGGCATGTTGGCCCAATCCAGACACTTTGGGGGCAGGGTTCCCCCCACCAGCCAGATCTAGGCCAGCCTATAGTATGGAAACTAAGAAAGCAGTGAGACAACAATAAAATCCAATTCCAATCTCCAAAAGCTTGTCAAAAGAGAAGAGTTTTTACCATCCCTTTAGAACAGAAACAGCAGAACTCAGCAAGGGTCAGTCTTGGGGAAGGTGTGCAGCTAGCCTGAAACAAAAACTGAAGCTCCGTATCTAAACAGCTTCAGAATTGTTTTCAAGGGCAGCCCTGTAAGATTACATTACAGTAATCTCACTCAGTGATTTCATGTTTATGTTGAAATGCATTGAAAAGACAGCTCTGCTGTGAAACCCTGCAAAATTAGAGTGGAGGCATTGCAAATTAGTGTCTTAAACAGCCAGCCAGCCCAGGACCCCGTGGCCAATGCTATCAAATGCCACAAAGTGACCCAGGATAATTGAACAGAGTCATGTTCCCCTCATCTCTTTCTCTCGTTTTTTCTTCCTCCCACTACAGTTGTCAACCAAAGCAGCTTCTGTCTTGAGCTACGGCTGAAAGCCAGATTGAAATGGATCTAGATAATCTGTTTCATCAAAGACTGCCTAGAGTTGCTACATTGTGACCTGCTCAACCGCTTTAGCTACAAACAGCAAATCTGAGACTGGCTGGTACTTCTTCCATACCAGATGATTGATGGAGGGGTTCTTCAGTGGCACTGTAGTTCTTATTACCTATCAGATTTCTCAACTGCCTTTTTTGCTGTTGTTTCTAAAGCAGTATATAAAATAATGGGGGGGATTAAAATCAGATATGAAATTAATACAACTACAACCACTAAAGGATCACCTACTCCCTTATGAGCCTGCCCAACTACTATGGTCATCTTCAGAAGCCCTGCTTTGGGAGCCCCCACCTTCTGAGATTATGGGGGCAGGCAATTTGGGAGAGGGCCTTCTTGGTCATGGCACCAAGTCTCTGGACCCTTCTGTTGCCATCTTCTGCCAGCAGGTTAAGATTTTGTTTCGTTTGGCATTCCCTCAACAATTCCTCCTCTTTAACCAATGTTTTAATTGCTGGTTTTAATGTTTTGTATGTATTTTAACTGTTTTTAATTGTTCTAATGATGTGTGTTGGGGGTTGATTTTAATGGTTTTTAAATGTGATTTTATGATATATGTTATAAATTATTAGCCACCTTGGTGGCCCTCGTAGGGGGCAGAAAGGCAATATGCCCATCTCTCTTATGTATAATTGCCGGATGGTGGTGGCTTCTGTCCTATGGGATGGCGAGATTGCATGCGCTCCCTCAGCCATTGGCCTGTCGGCTGCCAGTCAAGACTACTGCCGTGCCATTGGCCGGGTGTGCTCCTCTTCTCCGCCCACTCCCCTTTCAGGCACTGTGCTCTGTGTCAGAAGCATTCTGTCTCCTGACGAACACACTTCTCTTGCTTAGCTCCTGTCTGGGATAAAGGTTTCCTCAGTGGCTGTTTTGAGGAACTAATAGGGTTGCCAGCTCCAGATAAGGAAGCCAGAGTTTGGGGAGGGGAAAGGGGAGGCCTCAGCTGAATAAAGTGCCATAGAGGCCACTGGCCAAAGCATTCTAACTTCTCCCTCAGTGGCTGTTGGTAGGCAACCAAGCTTGGCTCTGCCAGTAAATAGACAAAGGAACAAAACCCTTTCTACGCCTCTGTGAGGAACTCATTGGGCCCAGTCCTGAGTATTGTTGCCAGCTCCAGGTTTGGAAATTCCTGCTGAGTCCTTCTG